TGTGTGCTTTGGTTGTGCATGTGGTACAGGTACAAGTAAGGATGATAATTTGCTCTATCTTATTATATGAGTATTATATGAAAGTCTTGATTGATTTCTACCCAATATGACTTGAGTCAATGTATAGAGACCTATCCGGTAGTAATTACTGTATATGAAATATTGTAACTTGTAACATAAGAGGAGGATATGATAAAGGGTATGAATTAGCAAATGAAATGGAAGAGAAAAATAAGTTGTGTCTGTGAAACTACGAGAAAAGGAAAGGATGTAATAGATCTGAATGAAAGTGGTCAGATCTTGTGAAATGGAGCTGGTACACAGAGAGATGAAGATACAGGCGTCATTATGAATGAAAGAGTTGGCTTATGTTAGAAAATATGGATTGGTCTAATCCAGGTTGCTGCAAGGACTAGATTAGCAACACTAGAAACAGAGATACTGAAACCAGTCTGGTCCATTGCATATACATGTAGTAGGAAGGTTTCAGATGTAATGCAGAAGGAAGAGATGTAGAAATTAAACTTTGATTCTACTATATACCGCTTGTCTCTTATACTCTGCATATACCGGATTTCTTCTTGAACAATTTTTCTAATTATTTCATTAAAACAGTTTATCAAGGCTTGTGAGGATTCTATACTTCCGATACTTCACAGAGAGAAGCCTAATAGCTGTTCTAGATATAAAGTATAAATCTGTAAAATTGTGCTGAAGGTAGCAAGAACACAGGTATAGAATCAAAGGCCAGATAAAGCCATTATGAGAATACAGTGCAGATATCCTCAAAGTTAAGAAAGAGGTGGCAAAAAGTCAGGTAAGGAAAAAGAGCTGACACATAAATATGGTTGGATTCATAGCCATCGTTCTAACAGAAGTGTTTGTATCTGCAGTAAAAGCTATGTATATTTTGAAACGTGACTCTTTAGGTCATAAGCTCATGAGAATATGTTTGTATTCCTAGAGAGACCTTTATTGCTATGCCCAGTTAGTAATAGTTGCATGTTATGCACTAATGAGTGTTGATAATGGAAAAAACAGACGTGTTTTGGAAATCTTCTGAATAAATATGAAGGAGAAAAATATTCAGCTAAGGGCATAAATGAATGGGTGGGAATGCAATGAGAAAGCAAAGAAATGACTGGGCTATATGGAAGGTCTGGACAGAAAATTTCTGTAGGTTTTGAATAAATCTATTGTGTATATATAGTGAAATAATGAATATAAATCTAGAAGTATGATTGATTTATGATGAAAGATTGAGAACATTAGTGAGGGATACAAGAATGATGAGTGTTTAATGTAGGACAGACTATTTTATACTAGTGTCAAGAGAGGATTTTGGAGAAAAAGGGCATAGAAGAAAAGGAAAGAAAGAAAAAAAACAGAATGTGTATAGGGTAAGAAGGCACAGGTTCCATATGAGGCAGATAAAGGATATATTCTTCTAAAGGAATAACTGGAAAATAGACTTACGGAAAATATGAAAGCTGTTTGAAAAGAAATAAAAATAATATAATTTACAGAATTGCAAAGAATTCTATTCTATTCTATTCTATTCTATTCTACTCTACTCTACTCTACTCTACTCTACTCTACTCTACTCTACCCTACCCTACCCTACCCTACCCTACCCCACCCCACCCCACCCCACCCCACCCTACCCTACCCTACCCTACCCTATTCTGAAGTATGCTGAGTATACTGCATCTCAATATCTCTTCCCACTATCTAGGAGTAGCCATGACTCCAGGATGTCACAGACATGGCATGAGGCAATAGCATCCCATCAAGAGACAACATTGGAGATGCCATATAATCCTAATGAACAAATAATGACACTGTCTTGCTTCTATTCAATTTCACCCTATTTTATCCTATCCAGATCCCACAACTTCCAGACACTGGGCCAAGATTTTCAGTTTTTTCCAGTGTAGCTCCTAGTATCCATGTACAGTTGGTTTTACCAGTGTATTAATAGTGTTATACGCAAAATTAAGGAAAGACCTTTCTTCCAGTTTGATAAAGAAGTCAAAAAGCCAGGAGAAAGGTCCAAGGCATGAGCCATCCATAAAAGAGCAATTGCTTACACAAAAGAGCAATTGCTTAGCTGATCTTTCTCCCTCCCGTGCCTGAAATTGCTCACTGGAGGAGGAGCAGAACCATCCGCTGAGCAGTGTTTCCATTTTCCAGTCTAAATGGTCCGGGAGATCAGAATGGTCAAAGGTATTCAAAATTGTTGAGAGATCTTCCACAAGAGTGATCAGAGTCATTTCCAAGTTTGAAGCCAGTCTGAAAGAGTTTATCCACTTTCTTACAGTAGCTGTGTACTAACCACAGTCTTGGTAAATTTCTTCAAGAATATAAGGCTATAGACAGGGTAATAGCTGGTAAAAACAGATGGATCAAGAAGAGCACCCACAATCTCTTTCAAGACTGCTGTCACTATACCTTCTAAAGAAAGGTGGTTACAAGCTCCTAGGTCCAGTCCGCCATGCCCTCTATCAGATCTCTTAATGAGCAGGGA